AAGAGAGAGAGAGAGAGACGGGGTTGTAAGGTACTCAATGGGTGAAGTGGACGCTTTCATTGGTACCCGTGTCTGATCAGCCAAGCGGACTGTGGTGACAAAGAGCGGCCACAATGGAGGTTTGTGTCTGGCTTTGTTTGAACAGACCGTGACTGGCCGGCCCAGGGTCGCCTGTTGTGATTGTGAGGGGTGGGGTTGTTACAGTTACAGACTTCTTCTTGTACGCGCCTACTTCTTCTCTTGGTCTCTCTCCGACACTGTCTCAACAAAGCTTCACCACCACCACCACCGTACGCACGACCCTCGTCCACTGTTGTGAGCCCATGCTGGACTGGATGAAAGTGGCGCGGTTTTTTTTGTAGCTAAAACGAAGCTGAAAAAACAACAACATAACAACAACAAACGAAACTCAATGAAAGAAATCTCTAGACAACCTCCAGGCAAGAACAGGCTTACACCGTTCCAGATGCAGTTGTGTATACGTGTACATCTGCTTTGATTCAAAGAAGATTCTTTTACAACCAGAAGGAAGTGGGGAGAGAAAAAAAAGAAAGCCCAGACAAGAAAAGGCATAAACAGTTCCATGTAGTTGTGTATAGCTGCTGTGATTCACGGAGGATTCTTTCAAAGGATTTTACCCGTGTTGTAATGTTTTCATTTTCCAGTGTGTGGCTGATGGTGTCTCAGAATGAAATGGTGAAATGGTATGGGTTTAACGCCCCGATCAACACTATTAGGTTATTTTACTTTTAAGGGTCGGAACCTCCTAGTTTAACGTCCGTCTCCGATAGGACCGAGCCAAGTGGGAAGTTCGTGTAAAGTGCCTTTCCCAAGGACACAACGTCGGACCGAGCTGAGGCTCGAACCCCCCGAACCCGCAATCTCACGATTACGAGTCCGGTAGCCTAACCACTAGGCTACCGATGCCACCTTGTGTCTCAGAGTATCAAACTCAAACTCTTCGTTAATGTATCGTAGCTTGTCAGCGAGTCTATTCAACACTAGTTAGTCTTTTGTCGTGCTTGGCGGAAATGAAACGTTAATAATATAAACTTTCCTCACACTTCCGATCTTTCTCTGCGAGTGGTTGGTGGGTGCTGTGGCGTGCGGTATACCCCATCTTTCCTATCACACATCTACCGTCCTTATCTCTCTTCCTTCTTTTTGTTGTTGTTGTTGTTGTTGTTGTTGTTGTTGTTGTTGTTGTTGTTGTTGTTGTTGTTGTTGTTGTTGTTGTATGTTACTTTCTAGTTTCACCT